GTACGTGCGTGTGCAGGTACACGTGCCTGCGTGCGTGTGCATGTACACGTACGTGCGTACGTGGGCACGTACATGTGTGTGCGTGGATGCGTGTGCACGTACACGTGCGCGCGTGCGTGTGCACGTACACGTGTGTGGGTGCGTGTGTGCGTGCGTGGGTGCGTGCGTGTGCACGTACACGTGTGTGCGTGCGTGTGCACGTACACGTGTGTGCGTGCGTGTGCACGTACACATGCGTGCGTGCATAGGCACGTACATGTGCGTGTGTGTGTGCCTGCGTGTGCACGTACACGTGCGGGCGTGCGTACACGTGCGGGCGTGCGTGCGTATGCACGTACATGTGCGTGCGTGCGTGTGTGTGCATGTGTGTACGTGCGTGTGCAGGTACACGTGCCTGCGTGCGTGTGCATGTACACGTACGTGCGTACGTCAGCACGTACATGTGTGTGCGTGGATGCGTGTGCACGTACACGTGCGCGCGTGCACGTACACGTGTGTGCGTGCGTGCGTGTGCACGTACATGTGTGTGCGTGCGTGCGTGTGCACGTACATGTGTGTGCGTGGATGCGTGTGCACGTACACGTGCGTGCGTGGGCACGTACACGTGTGTGCGTGCGTGCGTGCGTGCGTGCGTGCGTGCGTGTGCACGTACACGTGTGTGCGTGCGTGTGCACGTACACGTGCGTGTGTGCGTGCGTGTGTGCGTGCGTGTGCACGTACACGTGCGTGTGTGCGTGCGTGTGCACTTTCATCACCTCTTTTGATCGCCACACACCATTTCAATCTCAGTTCTGGGTCACTTGGGCCCCCACTGTTTCGTGAACAGGCATGGTGCTGTCTTATCATAGACACGCTGGCCATCTAATTTCTCCTCCTGCGATTTACGTTTGGGAGGACAGGTGGAGGGCGAGCGCCGTCCAAATACTTCCACATAACTACCTTGATGTTAGCATAAATTATTATACTATTGGATAAGGATGTACCTACTATTAGCTTCACTACTATTTGTATGGACTGCTTCAAGTAGCACACGCATGCGATGTGGTTGCGATGTAAATACGAGAGCCTATAACTGATTAGTTGCGTCATTTCTACAATCAGACCGTTTGTTCTATGTCAACAGCTACTGTCAAGCGATCGATTGGTAGACTGGGTTCGTGGCCCCATTGTTTATACTGCCGTAGGGTCTAGCATGCTTAGGGCGTGCAGAGCGTGCTAGCGTCTACTTGTACTAGTGTCTAACAAGGAAAACTTGTTAATGGGAATGAGTTATATATAGCTCTTTTGATCTTGGTTGAGAGACGCTGCCGCTGGTAAAATCGATGGGAAATTGGGACAGTGAGGGACTGGGAAAATATAACTAGTCCCGCCGGACTAACTGCTATGGGAATCTACTAGTCCTTCTGATTTTTTACTAGTCTCGGACTAACGGACTAGCGTTAGTGTCGAACCCTGCTATTTTGTTACTCACTGCTAGTAAATAAGCGGACCAACTTTTGTGCAGGACCACCAACTTTCTGAAGTTGGT